TCTCTCTCTCCCTCTCTCTCCTTCTCTCCCTCCCTCTCTCCTCCCCCTCCCCCTCCCTCTCTTTCTCCCTCTCCCTCTCCCCCTCTCCCTCCCTCCCTCCCTCCCTCCCTCTCTCTCCCTCTCTCTCCCTCTGCCTCTCCCTCCCCCTCCCCCTCTTTCTCTCTCTCTCTCTCTCTCTCTCCCTCTCCCTCCCCCTCTCCCTCCCCCCCTCTCTCTCTCCTCTCTCTCTCTCTCTCTCTCTCTCCTCTCTCCCTCTCTCCTCTCTCTCTCCTCTTCTCTCTCTCTCTCTCTCTCTCTCTCTCTTCTCTCTCTCTCTCTCTCTCTCTCTCTCTCTCTCTCTCTCTCTCTCTCTCTCTCTCTCTCTCTCTTTCTCTCTCTCCCTCTGCCCCCCTCTCTCTCTTGCATGTCCTTGCATTTCATTTTTTCACCATATTCGCCTCTCACCCTTCCACCATTCCACTTATAGCAACCTTCAGGTGTTACCATGTTTGTGTCTGTATCCGCATGTGTGTATACCTCTGTGTGTGTGCACGTGTTATTAGCCTCAGGTGTAGAGGATGTTTGTCTAGGCTAGAATGGCGGATAAACAACAGTGCAGGCTCTGATCTTCTCCCTCCCCCCTCCCCCATCCTCTCCCCCGTCTCCCCTCTCCCCCGTCTCCCCTCTCCCACCTCCCACTCCCCGCTCACCCACATCCTCTCTCCCGTCTCCCCTCTCCCCTCTCCCTCTCCCCTCTCTGCTCACCCACCAAGTACGCTAGACCCTAGCAACAGTGGTGCTCTTGTATCAGTTCTCTCCCCTCCTCCCCTTTACTCTCTCTCCCCTTTCCCCTCCTTGTACATGCCCCTCCTCCTCCTCCTTCTTCCCCTCCTTTTCCCCCTCCTCCACCCCCTCGTTCTCATCCTCCTTCTCTTCCTCCTCCTCCTCCTCCTCCTCATCCTCCTTCCCACCCCTACCCCTCCTCCTCCTCCTGCTCCTTCTCCTCCTCCTGCTCCTGCTCCTCCTCCTCCGCCTTTGTCTGACCTTGTCACGCTTATTGCCGTAACACACTGTTCCGCCCTTTACGTATCGGGGCTCGCAGGTTAAGTGCCCTATATTGTACCGTGGGAAGGCTAAAAGGACTGTTGTAAGCCCGGCACTCACGGCGACGAGGAATGGCTAACACGATGTAGCAGACAAAGGGCCTCAAGGCATATCACAGGTAAATGCTGGCAGACAGAAGAGAAGGACAAAGGCACTGCACTCCGAAGAGGGAAGGGGTATGTTATAAACATAGCAACACAGCACGGCAGTTTAGGGGCTGAGGCAGAGTATAGAACGTCACAGAAGATAGTAAGAACAGCAATCCACAGCGCATAACAACACCCTCACGATCATAGCATATGGGCACAACATGGAAAGCAGAAGCAGAACACAATGCCCTCCGAGAAAGAGATTCGCACTGCAGATCGGCGACTCGTAGAACACAGCAACATCCGCACGGTTGCAGTACATGGGACACAGGAGAAATACACATAGAAACTGTATACACAGCACACAGCCACAAATGCAGATGACCGCAGCACATAGGGCACAGCAGCATCCGAGAGCCGGGATGGGATTTCAGAGAATGAGGGTGAAGGGATGGGGGTAAGGGGAGGGGGGGAAGCGGAGGGTACCTGCCTCCACGTACGCCGGAGAGTCCGCCCAACCAAAACCTGTCCAGTCGCATTTTTCTTCATCTTAACTCCTTGTATCAGGGGGAAAGGGGGAGGGAGGGAGGAAGTGAGTGTAGATAGAGGGACGGGGGGAGGGAGCGGAGGGCTGAGGGGGTAGTGGAAGTCCCTGTTCCCCCCCTCGGCTGTTTTTGTTATTGTTTGATCGGTGGAGATTATGCGATATTCTCCTTTTTTGTTGTTGCTGTTGTCGTCTGTTCCCCTAGCGAGGTGTCGTCACCTCGGAGGATGAAGGTCGCCGGCAATTCGTCCTTCTGATTGGGGTTCTGTTCGGCCCTTCTTATTAAAGGGGAAATAGGCGGTCGTCTAGGGGGTGAGGGGAGAAGAGCAGGGAGGGAGGGAGGGGGAGAGGGGTGACGGGGGGGATAAAGTAGCTTCGAAGAATCCCAGCGGAACGATTCTTTGCCCTTTTTGGTTGAGTGTTTAAACGGTTGGGAGATACGGCGTGTGTTGTTGGAAGGCAGACTTTGAAGAGTTCCTGCGTTTATATTAAGTAGGATGGACTGTGGGAAAGCGGTGGAGGAGATTTAGCGAAGGGAAAGGCTGAAGTGCGTACAGACATGCATATGCACATGTGAACGCACACACACACACACACACACACACACACACACACACACACACACACACACACACACACACACACACACACACACACACACACACACACACACACACACACACACACACACACACACGCGCACATACACACATATACATGCATATACACATGCACGCACACATACACACACACACACATACACACATACTCACACATACAAACATATAGATATACACACACATGCACACATATACAAACATATACATATACAGAGAGAGAGACAGACAGACAGACAGACAGACAGACAGACAGACAGACAGACAGAGACAGAGAGGATGCAAGAACCGAGAAGAGAGACAGAGAGAGAGAGAGAAGATGCAAGAACCGAGAAGAGAAAGCGGTAGCAGCCAGCAAGCACAGCCGAGAAGAATTAATACGATCTGCGCCCGCGATCACCCACTCGCAGTCGTATATAAGCGGCGCTGAACGAATTCGACGAAGCAAAAATAAACGTGACGCGCTCCAATACGTCAAGGAAAGTGAGGGGGAGGGGAGGGGGGGAGAGAAGGGGCGGTGGGGGGAAGCGGAAAGCAGGTGCATATGGGAAGGTGTGCGTGGGAGCTGAGGGAAGGGGGGGGGGGAGAAGGGAAAGGGGGAGAGGAAGGGGGGGGGAGAAGGGAAAGGGGGAGAGGAAGGGGGAGAGGGGTGGGTGTGGAAGCAGAGAGAATGAGGAGAGGGGAAAGGGAGAGAGTGAGAGAGGAATGTGGGGTAGGAGAAAGGGAGGGACGAGGGGAAAGGAAGAAAGGAATTGGGAGTGATGGTAGGGAGTAGAGGGAGAGGGGAGAGGGAGGTAAAGAGAAGAGAGGAGGGGGAAGGGAGAGAGGAGGGGTAGGGTGTGAATAATACGTAGGTGCAGAACTGATGGGAGGGGGGGGGGGGGACGCAAGGGAATGGAAGAGAGAAAGGAGTAGGGGAAGGGAGGGAGGGTGCAGGGAGGAGGGAAGGCAGGGCGGAGTTCCATACTGCTTGACTAACGCACCTTGTCGTGATATATAGAATTCTACCTGTATATTAGGATTGTCGTGTTGCTTGCCTCCCTGGTGTGTGTGTGTGTGTGTGTGTGTGTGTGTGTGTGTGTGTGTGTGTGTGTGTGTGTGTGTGTGCGCGCGCGTGTGTGTGGATGTGTGCTTATGTTTGTTTTTTTTTTTTGCGTGTTGACTATATCGGGTACGTTTACAAAGTTTTTATTTTTATTTTTGTATGGACTGACATTGACAAATGCCAGGATGTACCAAAAGCTAAACCAGGGTTTGGGAGGAGGAGGAGGAAGAGGAGGAAGAGGAGGGAGGATGAAGAGGAGGAGGAAGAGAGGGGAAGATGAGCAGGAGGAAGAGGAAGGAGGAGGAGGAGGAGGAGGAGGAGGAGAAGGAGGAGGAGGAGGAGGAGAGCAAGAGCACGAGGAGGAGAAGGAACAGCAGGGGTAGAGGAAGAGAAGGATGAAAACAAGAGGAGAAGGAGGAGGAAGAAGAGGAAGAGAAAGAGAAAGGAAGAGGGCAAGGGAGTGCAAGAGGAGTAGAGGGTGAAGTGGCCGTTGGCATCACAGGTGTGGTGGCTCCTGAGCTCGGCGCGGCTATGTGGGCCCTCCAGCTTAAAGGAGATGTGTCTTGGGGGAGAGGGCAGTGCTGGCGTGTTTGTGCTTGTGCTTGAGTGTGCGTGTGGCGCCTGTGTTCGATTGTGGATA